AGACAACTTTTAACTGAATTTAGTTACATTTTATCGGTAACTTTTAAATATTTTAACTTGCCTGTCTCTTAGGCTCGGTTTTTCATTTTCTGGTTGATTGTTAACCAGAGGTTAGTCGACTCTCGGTCGACTTTTTAGATAATTAACTGGAAAATGTAAAACCGGGCCTCAAAATTAGCCACGCCACAAACAAAGGCGTCGCGAGATGCCGTGCGTCTGCCTACTCTGGCAGTCTCTGTGTTTCAAAATTCACTGCCAGCTCTAAAGTCTACCGTATACGTGTACTATCAATCTTCAGCGCTGGTAATGAATTTTGGAACACAGCCATTAACATGGGGTTTTGATTCTCGAACTCACGTGGAATTGTTTGCATATGAAATGGACCATGTTCCGTGTAGTGTCAGCGATTGTCCGAACGCTAGTCGCGAAATTCAATGCAATTTACGTGACCGTAAGTCTCTGAGATTTTATGTAAAAATAAAACTTTAACTTTTAACTTTCTCTTTTTATTATTAACTTAACTTGTAATTCAATTAATTGTATTATGGATTAACTTGTGTCTTAACTAAGTCAAATTGTCAAGGCTGTTAACTTCAACTTAGCTTAGTTAAAAAAAAAGATAACTTACCCAACCCTGAGTCTTGAATGATCTGACTATGAATACCGGGTCTTAGAGTGAATTACTTCACTCTGTTGGAGTAAATATTCACTCGGATAGAGTAAAGTGGTCAGTGACACCATGATTCGAGTGAAAATGCAATTACAAGAATTTCGCACGAGATACTTTTACAAATTTGCCTCATCGGCCGATGTTAAAATCGTTAGTTACATAGGTGGACAGTAGATGGCGATGAGACGACGTTTGCCTCGCCCGAAGAATTTGATAGAGGATTTTGCGTAAAACAAGACCGCGCATCGATATATCGGAGATAAATTCCACATTAAAGGCTGATAAACGGTATTCCAAATTCACGAGAAACGCTCGACAACAATAGGCCGCAACGTTATCTGTGGATTTTCGCGTTTATTGTCTAAACGCCGTTTTTCTCAACCAGGGAACAAAACGGCCAAACGAGCAAATTAAGGTGGCGGTAGGAACGACGTATTTATAAAAATAATATAATTAAAATGCGAGAAATGATAAAAGTATCGCGATAAAGAAATGTCGAAGTCGCGACAAAGTTAAAAGTTAACGGTAGAGCGCGAGTAGAATACGACCAATAAATAGTTTTTCCACTTCTTATCGCGTGCCTCTAATTGCAACGCGGCTGTTTTTTCCACGCTGACATTTTGCGTCGAAACCAAATGTACGCCGTTGCCGAGGCGAGCGTCTCGGATATCTTTCGGAATAGTTCTCGGTCGCGGACGGTATTGTCTATAACTCCATACGCTTGACGTGCGTCCGCGCGAGTGCGCGGTCCCGTCTCTTTTTTTCCCCCCCGGAGCCTCGTGTGCCCGTGGAATTATGCGAGAATGACTTTGGCAGGGCTCCAGCGCGCCGCAGAATGCGCGGGGACAACGCGTACGTACGGAGCAACGAACTTTAGCCGGCGTGACTTCGGGCGTGGATTCTTTTTGTTTCGACGACAACTTTTCTCAGCCCGGGAACCTGATGCAGACGTTTTCTTTAGCGGCGACAGTTATACGAAAGTTTCGTTCCCGCGACGCGATAATTGCGAAATTCCCGTTTACGAGGGGCGGGAGACGGGTCTATCGCTCTCTTTTCAAAAATGGGAGGGCTTTTGTTACATCGGGATTCGAATCTCACGATAAACACTTCTGTTTTGCATTCATTCAGTCGCGGAAGAATAACTCGCTCTCCCCCCCCCCTCTCTCTCTCTCTCGCCCCACCCTCTCTCTCTCTCTCTCTCTCTGTATCACAGGAGAAAAACATCGTTGCGGTAATATTATGTCGCAGCACAAGCGATACGGGAATGAAAACGTAAAATCGCAGGGGAAAATGGAGATAAGAGGGAAATATTATCATTTAATAAGAGCGCTTTCACAAAACATCAACACATTTAGCGTATCGGTGCGATACGGTGCGGTTTGTAATCTGGTTTTTTTGCCCCAATTTTTTGCCTCGTTATATTTTTACGAGGCTCAGCGTGAATGCCTATCGGCGTTATCATACCGTAATTAATACGATCATTATCGCATCGCGCTGGCTGGATTAAAAGCTGCGCGCACGCCGCGGACGCCGCGAAAACAGCTTAGCGCCAGGCACGGTGATTAAAAATTACAGCTGGCGAGGGGGTGAGGGTGGGGGTAGGGGTAGGGGTCACGGGGGAGGGGAAGAGAGGAAAGAAGGCAAAAACTGGTGCCTAAACCGAGTCTATGCGCGCCGTAATTTTTAATTATTATTCCGCGACGATCGCGCGTAAAACGCGCGACCGCGCGCGCGAACCTTCGCGTTCGCTGCGTACGCTTAATTAATTAAACACAACGTAATTACGGGACGCACGAGCCGGGTGGGACAGCCAACCATTTTTAATTAATA